AATTCCTAGAACAGAATCAGGCGATAAACATACAACGTATATAATTGGTAGGAAAGGATGCCTGCCCTTATTCAAAAGGAAGAATGCTACCCATTATGGACATTTCATGGAAGGTTGACAGTTGGTGGCATGCTTGAGTGGGATATAGGAAGTGCTTTGCCAAACGAATATTCTAAAGAGACCATTCTGATAAAAGGATGAATGGTGTGTGTGTGTGTGTGTGTGTGTGTGTGTGTGTGTGTTCGTACATAGATATATATTCCACCAAAACTTTATATTATATGGAAATTATGGTGGTTCTCAAGATGCTCTGAGATGTTTTCAGTTTTAGAATCTCAAAACATTTTTTTAACCATTTTTTTATGTTTAATTGTAAAGCTAAGACTAAAACAAAGAGCAGGGCCGAGGTTGGAAAAATAGTGTGTAAGGTACACCTCCTTTTGTTATGCTTCAGTTTACTGTGCCTTGCAGATATTGAGCTTTTTATTTTATTTTATTTTGTTTTATTTTATTTTTTATGGAGGTAACACTGGTCAACTCCATAACGTTACATAATGTAAATGTTATGTAAAGCGAACCCATGACCTTTTGTTTTACAGGATGATGCTCCAAACAAGTGAGCCACACCAGCCAGGGCACCTCAGTTAATTCTCTTTACAGGAGGAGAAACATAATTATTTGACAACTTACATGAATGAAAATGAAGTAAGTTTTGCAGGTCTAACTTCATCTATCCAGTTCTTTTCAAGCAGAGAGTATTTCGCCTTATTCTTGAAACATTGTTCTTTCTACTTGGGATGTTATTAATATTTTCTGGAATCCTAGAAAGGGTCCAAGAAGTTTCATTTCTTATATTTGTTTTCTTTGGCAAACTTGTTTCTAGAGAGGACATTGTAACCTATTTCCCAGCAGCTTTTAGTGACCTCCTGTGGTTGAAAGGAAGAGACTCACTCAAAATAGACTCAAAATAAAAGGAGCCAGGGATCCCGCTTCTGGGAATATATCCGAAGGAACCCAAAACACTAATTCAAAAGAACATAAGTGCCCCTGTGTTCATTGCAGCATTATTTACAAGTGCCTAGATACGGAAGCAGCCCGAGTGTCCGTCAGTAGATGGGTGGATAAAAACAACTATGGGACATTTACACAATGTAATACTAATTGACCGTAAAAAAGAAAATTTTACCCTTTGAGACAGTATGGATGGACTTGGAGAACATTATGTTAAATGAAATAAGCCACTCAGAGAAAGAAAAATACCGTGTGATTTCACTCATGAGGAATCTAATGAACAAACTGAACTAACAAACAAAAGAGACAGACCCGTAGACGGAGAGCAGGCTGACAGCTGAGGGTTGCGGGGAGGTGAGCGGGTGGAGGGACTGAGCAAGAAGGAAAAAGGACTCATGGACGTGGACAGCAGCGTGGTGACTGCTGGGGGGGAAGGGGTGTAAGGGGACTAAATGGTAATAGAGAAAATACAGTAAACTTTTTTTGAAGAGGAGCTTCCTGTAATAATGAGGCAGCTCTAGGGGAGGCCCTCCTGTCTTTCTCATTGAGCTTCGGTTTCGGTGTGTAACCTCGTTTCCTCACAGCTCTTCCGCAGCAGCTTTTTTTAAAAATCAGCAAGTGGCTATCTTATTTTTACATTTGTCAGTGAGATATAATGTATGTTCCCTGTTACTACTAGTGTTGTTACACTTGAAGAAATGAAGACTCAGAAAGATGAACGGATTTGCCTAATAGCACACATTAGAAAACAGGAGTTTCTAATTAGAAACACAGGGGAGCATCTATGTTTATCGGCTTATCAGGACCCCCCCCACCGCGAAAACCCCATAAGATAAGCCTTATAATGTCTCATACAGGGCCCTGGCCAGTGTGGCCCAGTTGGTTGGAGCATTGTCCCCTAACAGAAGGTCTGTCGGTTGGATTCCCGGTCCAGGTGTGTCCCGGAGGCCAACAATCGATAGTTCTCTCACGTCAATGTTTCTCTCTCTCCCGCTCTACAAGCAATAGAAAAAAAAAATCCTCAGGTGAAGATAATAAAAAAAAGTCTGATACATGATATAAGGAATGTTGAAAACATTGTGCTGATATGAGCCAGACAAAAAAATGACAATTATTGTATGACTCCATTTATGTAAAATGTCCAAATAGGCAAACTCATAGAGACAGAAAGCAGATAGAGGCCTAGAGGCTATCAAGGTCCGGAGGGAAGGAAGGATAGGGAATTACTGTTTAATGGGTCCAGAGTTTCCGTTTGGAATGATGAAAAGGTTCTGGAAATGTATAGTGGTAATGGTTGCACAACATTGTGTATATTTAATGCTACTAAGTTGTACACTTAAGGCTTATTCAGATTGCACGAGTTTGACGTGCATTGTGTGCCCAGTTCTCAGGTTGTGATATTGTATGAGAGTTGTACAAGCTGCTATCATTGGGGGAGGCTGGGGGAGGACATCCACGTACATGTCTTTGTAACTTTCTGGGAATCCATAATTATTTCAAAATTAAAAGTAACATAAACACATAATACCAATACAGAGGACAAAAAAGAGGTCTGCAGTCCCATTCCAAACTAACTTGAGGGCAAATTTAATACCTTGTCCTGGCTTGCTGTGCGTGAGAAATGACCATTCATTCTCCTTGAAGCGAGTTCTCTCTTCCTCAGGAGAGGCTCTCACGTGGCTCACGGTTTGAAAGAGGATGACGCACAGGCTGCTAACCTTCCTTTTTTAGACAGCGTATGCAATCTGTCATCACACTCTTTCCAAGAAGTTAAATGAAAGACTTAGGAAAGTCTCTTCTGCTCTGTCCTTACAAAGGTTCTTTTACAAATGGGAAGTCACTGATTCTAAAATAACAGCGAGCTCGTGTTTTTACCTTGATTCTTCTCCCTTGGTTAAAAAACAAAACCAAACCCAAAAACCTTGCTGGCAGTTATAAGTGGTTTTCAGGAAATCCTCAAGTAAAGATGCATCATTGCAATGCTTGTTATCACTGAGAGCGTGGAAACAAAATAACTTCAAATTGATGTTTGATTGTTTAATTAAATACAATTCCTTATGCGTTTGTTTCTGTAAGTAGCCAGCCAACAGTTCTGCAGCTTAATAAGCTAGAGAAGGCAAGGGACGTCTAAATAAACCTGGGAACCTCTCTGTGTTGGCTTGCTATTCATCACACAAACACCCCAAAAGAGGGTATTAATAGGTGAAACCAACACAGGGTCTATCTGGGAATTGGATGCTACCAATTAATAAGTTAAACTCTTTAGAATAGTAAACTTTTAAAACTGCAAATCCTCATTTAAAAAGACATGCTCTCACTTATACATCATCAGTGGAATTGTAAATTGGTACACTTTCTTTGGAGATGTTGGCAGTAAATACCCACAGTCATAAAAATATTCATATCCTTTGACCTAGTAATTTAATTTCTGGGAATTTATCCAAATTAATTAAAAAGAAGACATAAACTATGTTAAGACCTTCCTAACAACATTCTATATAACATCCAGTATTAGAAATGCTAAATAATAATGTTTAAGTAAATTGTGAAATTTCCAACCCAGTGGGCTACTATATAGCTATGACAAATGATAAACATGTTACATACCAAATGAAAAGGTACTTGTAAAACAATCCACAATTCCTGAAGCATTTCATAGAAAGGTATGCATCCAGGAGTTATCTCCAAAGAAGAACAGTCTAAAAGCACTAAGAGAAAAACTCACATCATTGGGTCTGTTTAATAGATTTTAACAAAATGCAATGAAATAGAAGCTGTTTCCAAGTTGAGAGCGGGAAAATCCAAACCTGTGGAAACCGAATTGTTCAAGTTGTGCTCTGAGACGAGGCTCGCCGCTTGAGCGCTGGGGGCTGACTTTCACAGCAGACTACACAGAGCAGCAGGACCTTTCAAATGCTCTGGATATAATACCTGGTGTGCTGAAGATCACGAAATGATTCTCAAGGGTTGCTAATGAGCACAAAACTGCCAGCATCTTATGCAGAGAGTCTCTTGGGAGCAGGAAAGGTATTTTGGGATAAGATTAAAAAAAAAAAGTCACAAAGATCCAGATGTGGCTGCCCTCAAACACCCTTGAGTGACCGAGCGGCCAAATCTCCTTTGTCTAAGTTAAAGGAGAGGAAATGACAATCTGTCTTTAGTGTCTGCCTTTGGTGTGGATTATTGGCACTTACAAAGATAACTGTCCCTAAATTCCAGGTGTTTGATTCAGCTCAGTACTGATGCTGCACTCCATGGCATGATTCATTAGGACCTGAGGTCACCACCTTCGCTGCTTATTAGCTTGAGTCCTCAACACTGGGACCAGAGCGAAAACATTAAGGCCAAGTACAAGGCTGCCTCTAATTTTCCCAGGGGTAGAAATGGTTACATGTTTGGACTTCAATGTGATATCCTACTAGGTTGCATGCTACAGAAAAGGGAGAATTTATAGAAGTATGCAATGTTAGAGGGCTAATAATGAAGCAGAGAAAGTCAATATGTGAAACTTGGAAACAGAGTTTGTCTGGATCGACCACATGAAGTTAAACTTATACATGGTTATACACGCACACACGACATGAGGGGAGAATCTGATGTCCCACTGGAGTGGTGTTCCTCCAAGGTGATTTTTTTCTTGGTTACTACTCAGACTGCAGTCGCACATTTGACAAGGGGGAACCAGGTACCTGTTAGATGGAGGGAGGAGTCTGTGTGTGGATCCCACTAGGTTATAGATTCACTGTAGGTCTATTTTTTGACGGGGTAGAGAGAGCTGGCACCCAGGCTTTTCCTACTAGCCCTGAAGGCACCATACGACTGTTAGCATGCCAGGCTTCCTGCGCACGAGTCCCCTAGAACCGGGTCTAAGTATCGGCCAATGGCTGTTTCTTCTTCCTTGATCACTTCTCACCCACAAATTCACAGTTGCCCATATTCCCTTGAGAATACCGGAAAGAGGTAGCCACACTTGGAAAGAAGATTGCTTTGTACTTTATTTACAACAGAATGTAAGAAAAAGTAAGTTATTAACAATAATAAATAACTGGGAAAAAACCCCACAAAACAGCCATAAAATGACACAGAAGGATGGCATGTGTGAAGGTCACCTTTTGTTTGCTTTGCTTGGAGTCTATAACACTGTGCATTCCAGAACTTGGTCCTTCAGCAGTGGAGGTGGTGTATTGACTCATTTAACTAATCAAGATCCCAGCTTGAAATGTAAACACTAAAAATTACACTTGAAGCTACATAGAAGGGACATAGGTGTGACGTCAACTCGAGAACCTCTTCTTGGTAATACGTAGAAACTGACGGGGGACTTGCAATTCAAGACATGCTTTCAATTTTAAGCAAAAACATCCTAAAAGATTTATTAACAGTGAAATTACAATTAATGACATCTGAAAAGCTCTCAGCGTATTCATATTCTCTTATTGCACTAACTCCTAAAAAGCTTAAACACTTACATTTCAAATGCAAACAGATTGTTTTGAAGGTAGAACACAGAAGAACCTGCGTTGCCTCAGCATGCCAGTGCTGTGCAATTGTGTAACATTTCAGTCCCAATAAGAGTTGTTTTAAATAGTCTATCCACGACCAGCTACAGTCACTGGACAGATTTATTTATTTTTTAACCTAAGATGGCAGATTGCTGCCTAGCTTACCAAGTCAGATGATCAGAAAGGGACTAAAACTTTCTGATTTAGACAATTCTTGTCTATTGAATTATCTGATCATACATTTTATGTAAATCATACTCCCGCCCTTCTGAAAAGTAAAATTCCTTTTGACTGAAACCAGCCAGTGACTTGTTGTCTCTGAGCTGTGTAGAGATGCTAAGGAAAGTAGAATTTAAAAATACACATAAATACATCAGCCTTGAAATTTTCACATAAAAATGATTTCTTGTGAAGTATCCAAATCTACTCTTAGGGTGCCATTTATCATAATGTCTTGACAGAAAACCACAATTACTTTTGGGGTCTTGGGTTTATGTGCCCGCATCATACAACCACAACTGTGCTTAGAAATTTCTTTTCACAACCCAAAACATGGCTAACAAATACTTCCAAGTATATTAAAACCATTCCTCCCACACAGATGCAAAACCATAATGGAAGCGTTTATAAATTCGTTCACCAACAAACACGTATCGTGTCTGTTGTAATGGTGGCGGCTGAAACATGTCACAGCCTCCTTTGCTTTGCTTCATGACAGTCCAAAAGTAAAAAAATGAAATGGTCTTCAGAGCTAACTTCTGACAAAGTTTATGCAGTAAAAACACCAAGGCCTTCTTATCGTGGAAAAGCAGTCAAAGCCACCACGCTGCTTGGCAGCCGCCGAAAGCACAGTGCATGTCATACTCGGAACCCATCCAAAGTCATCGTCGTGCTCTTCACAAACATTGGGTGAGGATGGTGTGCACACCTGTTCTTCTGTGGACTATTAATTGGGCTACCAGAGACTTCAAACTGGTGGTGTCCGACTCAGTATATTTATATATGTATATATATATACAGGTATAATACAATTTTGGTGAACAAAGTTGAAGATTTCCACATTGCAGACAGAGGCACTGAATTAAAGATTCTATTTTTCCCAAAACATGCTTAAGGAATTCAAGTTTCTGCTTTTTTTTTTTCTTCTAAGTTTCCATCATGCAGCCATTTAATTTCCATTCTTATAGGAATTATTAATATTCTATATACACATTCATTGCAGGCTAGTACCCCACAATAAAAAAAGCATGTGTGGAGAAAATGTAAAATGACACTTGAAAACCAAGATAGATAAAATATAACTACTCACACTGGTGATGGCTGGATTAAACATTCAAAGTAGCTAAAGGAATATACGCACCCCTCCCCCCTTGTTAAATGCACACAAACCACAAGTAGACAGAAAACTGAACATATTTTAGGAGCACACACATTTGATGGCTAAAAAACCAAACTTACCTCAGCAGTTTGTAATTAATATGTGTGGCATCGTACTGGCTATAAAAGAAAACTCACAGAAGGAAATCAGAAATTAGCTTTCTAAAGCATATAGAATTGCTGGCCTTGATAGCAGAAGCTACTTTACAAACAGCAATGGTATAAATGGAAACACTAGGTGTCAGATGTGTCAACCACCTGCACAAAACTGGTTCTATTAGAAAATGATCCCATCCCCTCTTGACCAGCTTGCAAATAAATGGTAAGCAAATACATACACACTATTACTGCCTTGTGAAAACAGAATTTTGCTTCCTAAAGCCAAACATTCTCAGTAAGTACTGTGGAGAAGGAGCTGTTGGGAAGTCCAAGGGGTTTGTAAAAGATTGTTTTCCCACAAGCAAACATCATGCTACCATACCATGCAAGGGTGTCTTACTATAATGCTATCATTCTTAGTGGGGATGTACTGTTGATCTAAGCTATTTGAAACTAGTTTCCCTGGAGTTCTGGGTTTATTTAATTATTTTTGAGCTAAATATCAACCTGTAGATAAAAACAATGAGCTCGACAGTCTGATGTATGACTTACACTTACTTGGTGCTGGGCTCACGGGGCCAGCGCCTGCACCTTGGGTTTATCCACTAGAAAGACACAGTGCAGAGTGCTGAGCACTTAGAGCGGCAGGAGGGTCCACCGGCTGAGAGGCTATGAGGAGAACATGCTCCTTGGTCTATGTGTTTCCTTTGGAATCTGTTTTGGGAAGGTCCCTTTCCTGAGGTTGGAGGTCACGGTAAGGAAGGCTAGCTGGGGCTTAGAGTTGCCCAATTACCTTGCTATCTTCCTCTCATGGAGGACACAAATACACGCTAGATTCTGCTTGCCCTTCCTTCTGCGTTTAAAGGCAGTGAGGTGCGAAGGTGGCAGGTTTTCCCTCTTAAGATCAAAGGAGAGTTCTCTTTCTGCCACTGGTGAATGATCTCGCCTCTTGTCAACCCTGAATCTAATCTTGCCTTAGCAATGCTTGCCAAAAAGAAAGCTAGACAGAGGGCATCTTCTATCTCTCCTTTTTACTCTACAAGTGAGAGTCAACAGCTCTCTTCACTCTCTCCTCCCACTTGACAGTATTTACTTGACTTCTGTGACATTCTCAATACCTGGGTTTCACATGAAGAGTAAGAGAATAACAGTCTTTTCTAAGGTCTGGTAATGGGCAATCAGTTCCAGGAGGTCTGGATGTTATTAAAAGTAAAACGAGGAAGAAAATGAGAGACAAATCTCTTTTTTAGGGTTTCCCCAAACTAGACATTATGACAGAGTTCAAGTCCAGTTAGTCTTGAACTTACTCTACCCTTGAACTTCTTTGAATGGGCAAGTAGTCAATGAATTCTAATTGCAAATTTTGAGAACCTTCATGATGATGGAAGCTGACAAGTTAAGGTTTGTTGGTACCTCTATAGAAAGATGATGTTTGTCGTACCTGGGCCTCTCGGTTTCTAACTCAACCCTTCCAAAATCTGCCAGTGAGGGTCACATTCACCCAGGCAATTCTTAAGATTTCTGAGGCCACAGGGGCATAAAGGGGAAAGTTATTAAAAGACGGGAATGTGTAATCTTTATTAAATTCTGTGAAAGGTATAAATAAGTTATCATTAATTGCACTTGGAGCCTCTATGGGTTGATAATTAAAACTTTCAAAAAATTTTTGTGTTAATTAGGCCCCAAATCCTGAGTCAGGCTAATTGAAGTAGGAATCTTAGTGACTAATTGTATTCAAGTATTGGTGATGAGTTCAAAATTTAAGAATTAGGTATGTTATGCCTGAGAATATTTTTGAGAATTTCAGTTTTGATGAGAGGAAACTGACTTACTAATTTACCACACCTTGTAACACAGTGGTGCAAAGTTTTCATTTACCCTTAAAGTCCATACCAACATCATCAAATGCCCAATAATAAGGCTCCCTCCCTGGCTGCAGCTATGGCTATGGAAGGTGCCTTTTGTCCTTTGCATGTCTTACATTTTGCATCTAACATGACGCTGTGTGGCATATTGAGGGACTCATATTATGTGTGAAATTACTTAACCACATGCACACTTAGAGATTGAAGAAACATGTTTGAGTGACAAAGCAGTCTTTTTCTATAGAAGGTCCTTTAAAAAACAAAATAAAATAAACACAAAAAAACATATAACCGACCCTGAAAATGAAAATATAAAACCCCATGACATTTTCCTATGAAGTTACTCTGATTTGGGCCGGCATGGCTTATCTGAAGAGGGTACGCCAGGTAAATTCAGGGTGGCTTTTTTTTCGGGGTCTGGAAGTGTGAGAGTTTCTGGGGCAGACTTTTTCCGGGGCCGATCTTTGGGAACGGAAAGAAACTCGGGTGCGTCTGTGGACAGAGGGGTGGACGGAGCGCTAGAAGGGGCGCTGCGGACGGAGGAAGGCAGCAGGGGAATGCTCGAGATAGAAATTGCAGGGGGGAAAACGCCGATTTTCTTGTTGGTGGCTTCCTGAGTGGCACGTTCAAATTCTCGAACTTCATCCATTGTCATGTCTTCAAAGAAAAAAGACGGAAAGAAAAATGATCAGTTATTTAGAAGAGATACAAATGGGTTAATCTCTATGCCTGTTTTTAAAGGACCTATAGGAACACTATGATAAAGTGACCTCTTTGGTTTATAAACCCAAATTATCATTGAAATACTAAACCCTGAGGACCCTGAATTTTTCCTTCTTATGGAGGCAAACCTCTGAAATAGTAGTCCTTTATGAATACCCATCCAAGACTTCCCAAAACACTCGTCAGTGAGTATTTTATGCATTCTGAGTAAGAAAATATCAGGAGAGTACAAAACCAGACCAGAGCAGTGTATGTATGTTATGGTATGACTATTATTAGACCTGGCCATCTTTTGTATAAAGGGAAGGTAATTAAAATAATCTACGGCCCCAAAATGAACGATACAAGGTGCGGCAAAAGTAGCTTTACCGTTGTATGTGAAACAGCTTATTCTTGTATTATAATTTATTAATTATTGTATTACTTTCTGTACAAACAACTGTAACCTATTTTTGCTGCACCCTGGTAAATAGTAGGTCACATAAGAACATATGAGCAAACTGGAGATACTTTTCAAAAAACAAAATCCTTCAGCAGAATTCCTGGAAACAATTATTAAATTTTCTGGAAGGGAAAGTTTTTTACAAAAGAAATATAAAATTATGGCTGTGGGGATATAAAATTCAGAATAGAACTAGGAAAACTGTACCTGTAAACTTACCACTTTAAAAAAAAGACTATTAAACAAGCTAAAAAAATTGAGATTACATTTTTGAAAAAGCCGTTTTGCAAAATAAAATTGAGACTCAGAAAAATTGCAGTGACTCGGGGTCTGTTTCTGCTATTAGAAATGGTATTATCCTGGAAAAATCAGGCTTTCTAAAAAACTGGCTGAACACAGTGCTCTACCCGACACACCCAGCAGAGAGCAGAGAGCGCCCACAGTATAATAGAGGGTTTGATTTCACAGTCCCTTCCAAGAGTCTCTTTGAAGTTCCCTTCCATGAAGAGACTGAAACTGCTCAATTGAAAAGGAGATTATTTCCTTATTTCGGTCAGCATGGATGTTACTTTTGTATACTTTCTATCTAATTTGTTCCTACTTGGGTTGATGATTTAAATGCCACTGAGCACCCTGTGGTTTTTATTTGTGACGGACAGCAGCCTCTTGATTTCAACTGTTTTTCATTATGATAGAGAGACAATGGAAAAATAAGTAGTCTCCAGTTTGAAGGAATTCCAAAGAATAAGGGAAATATAAGCATTCAAAATAACCACTTTGTGCAAGCCTTGCAGAGGTAGGCAGGCCCTTCGCTTACACCCTGGGGACACCTGTGAGCTGCAGCCTGAGGAGGCACGGGCTTTCGCAGGGGGAGGATCATTTCCGGTACCATCGCCTACCTGGTAAACTCTCCTTCTAACACTAGTCATCACAGTAAAATGAAAAGAAAAGCAAGTGAAGAGCCTAAGCTGAAAGCTGTAAGAACACAGAATGAGACAAGCACTGTGCTTTGTATCTGTGGACGCGTGGCGCCTCCCTCTTTCCTGCGTCCTTTGTCTGTCATGCTGACAGGGAGCATCTTTCAGAGAGAGGCTGAGGGGGAACTGATATCTAACATTCCTAAAAGAAAAGGTAGTTGAAAAGTGATGACAATTCAAGGACAGTTTCCCTAAGGAGCATTTCTAACTTTAGAACAGGGGGAGAAGGAGGGGGCAGTCCTACTGGTATGCGCAAAGAGGGGCTCCCCTGGGCTGAACCCTGGGAGAAGGGTTTTCCGCAAATCCGATCGCTGCACGCAAAAAGGGGAGGAAGAGTCAGGGCCCTTTCAGCCTCCTAGTCACATGCATCCAACAGCAGCCTTGCGGGGCGCATTCCGAAGGCATGCTCTGAAAGCTTAACTGAAGATTGAAAGCGCGGCCGAAGGCCTTCACAATTCCAAAGCGCCCATTTACAACGGCCACCGCTCAATGTTCTATTCTATAACTACATCATCCATTTCTTAAAAACCTAATCAATGTATTTTTCTGGGGCATGCAAGCTCAAGCTGGCACCAAAGAGATCCCAGGTCTGGACAAAGGTACATATAAATGACTTAATGATTACATTTTTCTTTGTCATCTGTATCTCCTCTTCATTAGCACGAATGACTGAGATATAACCATATTTAAAATGCTGGCATACACCATCCTGTTAGCTCTCAATTTCCAACGTTCCAGGGAATAACCTCAGGCTCCCTGGGTTAAGTTCCAGGCTAGATCCGGTACACTGCCTGCTCACGACCCTCTCACTGCGCAGCCAGTGTGTACGAACTGACCACAGACTCACCTTGACATTAACTTAGCCATAGGAAGCATTTCAAAGCGAATGTCAGGAAACCTAAAATACCAGATGGGCCAGAAGCCTTCCCTTGAATGAGTAACTGTTACCTATGTTTTTAAGTTACTGACATGATGCTCCAGTTTTCTTAGGACACCAGATTTTACCCCTCTGTTCTTTTAAGGTGCAGGCCGGGTCATTCTAGTACCATAAAATGTTTCCACTCTCCGTGTTCTTGCTTTTATTACTGGAACAACTCTCAAGTCCAGTGGCTTTAAAGAATCAAAATGTCTGGAAGCAAGAGGTGACACTGCCCAATTTAGACCCAGGTCAGGTTCTTTACCAACAGCCTCTGGGCAACAACCCTTTTTGTGGAAGTTTGAGAACTGAGTGTTCACAGTATTTCAAAGATCAGTGGATGTGTACGTTTGGTAAAGGGTGGGCAACATGTTTTAAAAATTCTACATACACTTGATTGGGCATGGCTCTCTATGGCATCCACAGTGGAGGAATGCTGATTGCAAACTTTTATGTTGGTTTGTTCATGCATGTTTTTCTCGTATTCCCGAACATCATCCATTGTCATATCTGAAAGAAGGTCAAGACGTTGGCAACTTCCGTTATTAAATGCAAACTTTCAATGGGGAGACTTTAGGGAAAAATGGTAGCTTAGCAGAAGCCAAAGAGAGGTTTAAAAAGCAGGGGGTTCACTAACTTTATGAAGAGTGAATCATAAAGTTAGCTAGACCAGCCAAAAGGGGAGTGAGTACAAGGAAGTGAAGTCAAAACAGTCTTAGAACAGAGAAGAGTGGAAATTATTTAGGGGTGACCTCTGAAGAGCGAGCTGAGTGGGTAGAGTGTTAGCATGTGGGCAGTGCCGCAGCCCGAGATCTCCTAGGCCAGAGTTAGAAGATCCCTTCAGGGGCAGGCTCAGGTTTGCTCAGTTTAACACTTACCTTCCATGTACCTTTCCAAATAGAGTCTTTCGATCAGTGCATTCAACAGAAAGGACACTTTCATTGCTATTATAGGAGACATGGTGTAGAAGGCGGAGAAATGAGGCTCAGCAGTATGAGTGGGACTGGCTGCAGTGCTCGCTGAGACGTGTTTTTGCGCAGAATATACGGTGTCAGGGAACGCAGGTCTGCACCGAGCCCCAGTGCAGCCTAGCAGCTTGAGGATGGCTGGCGCTACTTACACCCACACTCATCTATAAATAAACTGGCACGTGACACTATGATTTTGGGCCCACATCTGCAGTTTTTCAGTATTTCAGGACAATGATCTGTTAATCTAGGGGTTCTCAACGGGGGACAATTTTGTGACGTTTATGATGGCCACCACTGGGATGCCGCCCTTCCTCCAACAAAGACCTATCTGGTCCAACAGTCAGTGGTGCTGGAGCTGAGGGACACTGTCCTAATCCAACTGGCAAAAAACTCTAACACAGAACCCACCCATTTCCAGTATAGGAAGTGCATAAAAATAACAATTAGTCTCACTTTGAGTACTTTTGTGGTTTTATCTCGCCCATCCCCCATCCTACCTCTTGGTTATATTACTCCATTTTGTCCTCAGTTTCCCTAGATCGCCATTCTTCTGGTGCTCTCATGGCAGAATTTAACTTCATGCCTCCTTCCAATAAAGGTATGCTGAGTGATCAGTTAATTGACCACCCTGATCGCTAATTTTCTTGGGGATATAAAGCGGGTATTCACAGCTGGAACTTCTCCTTAGGTATTTTCTACATCACGTGTCTGGAGTCTTTTTATATCAATCCATGTGTGTCATGTGAAATTCTCTTTATTTCCAAAGGGCAGACTTGCCAGAGGTTTATGATTTCACTCAGTATGGTCTGGGGCCAAGATAGAGGGCAGCTCTAAACCCAGACCTGGGCTATGTTATTTAGTGGATGATTCTCACTCCTACACAAAGCCGTCAATGAAGAATGCCATCCAGAGCAATGTAAGTATCAAGAATGCTAAGCAGCGGTCTGGCCAAGCAAAGAGCATGCTTTTCTTTTAGAAAATCGAGGTAACTGGAAGCAACAAAGAGATGCTGCTTTGTGATGAGACCAAACGCATCTTAGTTAACAATGAGAACATATTTTTTCAATACAATCGCTTTAATTTCAACAGCTGGTTATCAACATTTCTTAAACACAAATATACCTGGAATATGAATACTGAGGTCATTTTAAGCTAAAAGTTTAAAGTTTCTCTGTACTTATGTTCACTAGACACTGTCTTCCCTCCCCCTTACTGCCATGGCAGGGATGTGGGAAACAAAAGCAAAGGCATTGCAGTTTCTTTGTTCTAGTGAATTTCAACACAGATCATTCTTCATCTTTCATTAGCTCAATTTTAAGAGAAGGGCTTAAACTATGTGACTATGTGCTTTCAAAGACAGATCAATTTTATGGCTGTGAAGAGGGATTTAATAACAAAGATACTCATTACCACCTTGTTCATAACAGTAAAAAATTTGAACCACCCAGGGAATTGATAGTACTATGCAAACCATTAAAAATAATGTAGAAAAATATTTAACACTAGAGAGAAATGTCCTTGGTACATTGTTAGATAAAAAATAGGAGGTAAAAAATTATGCATATTATATGAAATCACTTTTGTCAGAAAAGCATTATATACATTTAAAATATATGAAGTATATACAT